TTTTTAATCCAATGTCACCAGTCTTCTCTTCTGTTTCATTTATGAACAAAACAAATGTAGTCATATTTAATTTCAGATCTTCTTTTACCACAGCTGTTTAAAATAAGCACACTAAATTTGACAAAGAACCTCTATTTATCATTAATCATTCATATATTGTAGTGTAATTACAAAAGAGACAAGTGCTATTGTTTTTACAGTATTTCACAATATGGTAGAATAGTACTCGGCACCCCATAKTATGGAGCAAAGGACTATACAGATACATTTTAACAGAACGAACAAGGTTTAGGGTGAATGTGTCAAAAGACTGACTTGTTGTGAGAAAAACTCATTCTGAAGCATCAGATGTTWAGCGCCAATAAACAAATGCCATGGTATGTAATAAAAAATGTTTTCATGTTTGATAACTGCACACAGTTCAAATGTTCTTCACATGTAATAAATTATAGCTATTCAAGATGCTTTTCACAATCCAGATGTCAAACTATGCTCATCTGCAAAGTCAATATAAAACAGTGGTTTGTTCAGGCTTTAGAAATGTATACTTTTCAAAATTACACTGATATTTTTTAAATAAAGATTAATAAAAATATTGAAATGAGAGATGTTGAAAGTTATTTATTATCCTTTGGGTTAATCTATTTTTAACTGATCAAATAAATGAATTTGGAATCAAAACATGCACACTAATTTACCTGCCTGCCCAGGACTTCCTTCAAATAGAGATCTGTATTAAATAACCTTAGCTTTAATTGATGCAGTTTTGCATCATACACAAAAACGGCACCTGCATCAGCATAAACTTTTAGTTTTAATAGTTAAAAAAAAAAAACAGTTTAAAATGGGATTTTTAAAAACTGAAAAATGTAGCAGTTTTACCGCGTAAATTAAGAAAAACGTCASTCACGTGATCCACTGTTTTCGAGCAATGCATTGTGGGACTTCAAAATGGATGCCTCGGAGTTGTTTTGGTCCCGGTGATGTAGTCTCTCGCTGCTGATTTAAACATAAAAATCGCCTCTGTTTTGACTGAAAACACATCTTTACCTCTATAGAGCACGATGGGTGTTTTGCGCTTCGTCCGGGGAACGCTCTCGGGTCTCGGTGTCCAGGCCAGGAAACACTTCCCCGGCGTGTTTGTGACGCTTCTGCCCGGAGCGCCAGCTCCAGCCGGGGTGAAAAGGTACAGCCGGGACACGGATAAACATGGTCCGGAGCAGTTCGTGTGCTTTCAGCTCCCGCACAGAGCCGTGCTTAAGGTTCAGGGACCAGATACAAGTCCGTTTCTTCAGGGCCTGCTAACCAACGACATGGCGCTGCTGGAGGAGCCTGGACGTGCAGCCATGTATGCTCACATGCTAAATGTGCAGGGGAGAACATTATATGACATCCTGCTGTACAGGTGAGGCTTTTATTTGGCTGTTTTAGTATCGATAAAATAAATAATTTYCCCATAGTTGTTGTTCATTGTATAAATGGACACCATCCTTAAAGTTTTAGACAAATATACAGACTGAAACCTTTATCAAGTCCTTTGAATCTAACTTTCATTTGCAGTATTAAGTAACCATTTAGCATTTTGTTGTTCTCTTTTCAKTCGAGACTTAAAAGCCAGTCCTTGTTGTCATAAGAAGCAAGTAGGGTTGGGCATAATCATATCGTGTGCAATTAATCGTCAGAAAAACATTAATCGATTGCTTTTTGGCACTTGATGATTAATACGATTAATGCCACCAGGCAGAGTCCGCTCGCTGCTCCTCTCTGCTTCAAATATGATGAACATTAAAAAAAGTTCTGCAATTTATTTTATCTATCAACACAGTTTTAAATTTGATGTATAGCCTGAAGTCTGTAATTTTGACACAATTTGGAACTGATTTTTATGAAATCTTTCCCACTAAATTGGTCATGTGACCAGGACATGAGGGTATCCAGGACATGAGGGCGTCCAGGGACTCTGGGGGATTAATCGTCAAATTAATCGTTATCGGCTAAATACCATAATTAATCATGATTAATTTTTTTGCCAATATTGCTCAACCCTAGAAGCAAGTTGTAGGGATGTGGAGAAATTTTTAATCCTACACCAAATATTAAATCTGWCAGCGGATTCCAAAAGAACATTTCAAACCACACAAAGTAACACCAGGTGAAATCAGCTCATGTTTTCTTGCTGCAGTTCACCAATGGGGCCTTTGTGACCATTTCACCTTGCTGTTTTCTATTTTTGCTCATAACTTCCTCGGYGTTAAAGATATCACCATGAAATTTTAGGAAAATATTCACATTCTGGTTTTTGTAGGAAGCATCTTGTATCCAAAAAAACCTAGGGCTGCCACAAATGATTATTTTAATAATCGATTAATCACCGATTATTTATTCAATTAGTCGACTAATCGGATAATACGTTAATTGAATATAAAACATACAGCTTATCACGTCAGAATGCAGCTGCTATTATATAACCATCGTTAGATTTTAGCTATATGCTAACTAAATATAATGCTGTGGAAGGTAAATTCTGCTCTKCAGATATTGCACAGGTTTCTCTTTCATTTTCTTAAAATGATCVCACACTTTGAGCTCTGTTGTCAGGTAGCCATGATACCAGAGCCTGTCTGTATAATGTCTTGTGACGTCCACGGCCTACCCCAGTTACCACTACTGTACATGTGTGTCAAGGACAGAAAGGCAGACGTGGCAGTGGAAGGTGTCAAAGCAGTTTGGAGAGAAAAACAAAGTAAAGAACAAAAAAACAACAATGATTAATCGATTATTAAATTAGTCATCGATTATTTTAATAATCGATTATTCGTCGATTAATCGTGGCAGCCCTATAAAAATCCTAATAAAACTTAATAATAGCCAATTCAAAAGAAGCAGAAAATGTCTAAAATAAAATTACAAAGCAAACTGCAGCATCAAATCAACTTAATGTGTCTGAGAAAGTAAGGAGATTAAAACAGTTTAAAACCCATGTGGACATCTGTTTTGTAAACAAAGCTCCTCAACCAATGACAGCGCGTTAAATGTGTCAAGTGACGAAGACGAGTGTCAACACACTTTGCAACAGGAGCTAATCCGGATTTAAAAAAAAACATACTTTGACATTTCAAATCGTTATCAAATCTGGAACAAGGGCAGATAAAATAATGTTCTTCATGGCAGCTTACCTATTTAAGGGGTCACTAGAAAAACTTGGGTGATTTACTTTGATCCTTTTTTTCAAAAAATATCTCTTCAAAACGCATCAACAAAAATTAAAAACTGAAGACGAGGCTGTAGCTAACTACCTGACGTCAGCAYGCTTTGTTGAAATTTGTAGAAATAACGAAGCAACAGGAAATAACAAGAAAACACACAGCGCAGCCTTGCAAAATCTGGTCGCAGCAGTTTGAGAAGAAAATGGCAGGAGCTGCTGACAAAATGTCAACATCCCTACATCTTGTTGTTCTCTTTTCATTTAGCCAGTCMCTGTTGTCATAAAAAGCAAGTTAAGTTGTCAGTCTCATACAGTAAAAGAGAAATGTTTACATTACACCTAAGGTTAGTCTACCAAGTTTGTGTAAAAATAATAAACATTGGTTAATTACAAAAAAATGTCAGATTCAGATAGGTTTTGTGTTATTATGTGAATCAATGGTCTGTTAACAGTTTTATCAGTTTATATATTTTTTTAAGTAGCGTAACAGTTCTTACATTCATAATATAATTCATTGTTTTCATTAAATATTTTRTTACATGTAAAATTGTTTGCCATGTCTGTGTGTGGTTACAATCAAGACTTTTTTTTTTCAAAACACCTTGATAACATCATCCCCAGGAGGTAAAAGTAAAAATTGAGAGGCCATGTGATCACATACGCTGTGTTTCCCACTGTGGGTCCACTCAAAGTGACCGCTAAGACCAGTGTTGCATTTTACAGTGAACTTCCTTTTTACGAGACTCTCAACTTGCTGTATTTTGTTCCAGACTGAAAGAAGGAGGCACGTCCTGTGTTTTCCTGGAGTGTGACAGCACCGTTACAGATTCAGTGGTAAAACACTTGAAGGTTTTCAAGATCCGGAGAAAGGTCAACATCAGCCCCTGTCCAGAGCTCTCTGTGTGGTCCGTGCTTTCCAAGCAGATCAGTGCAGATCAAGAGGCTAGGAAACCTGAGATATCATCCCCTGACAAAGTGTTGGTGTGCGTGGCTGATCCTCGAACTGTGCAAATGGGATGGAGATTGATCTTGCACAGTCATGCCGACCCATTGGACATCATTGCATGCTGTCAGAAAGGAGACTCAAACGACTACCACAGACACCGCTATGCAATAGGTATGAACAGATAGCAACAGAGGACAGTTTGCATCAGATAAATGCAACTGGTTTAGAAAGTGTCGATCTGTATGAGCATGTACTAGAAATTTTGTGACATGTTTTGTTTGTTTTCTTTTGCTGTCATTCTTGTCTAGGACTTCCTGAGGGAGTGAAGGACCTTCCTCCTGGAGCGGCGCTACCACTGGAGTCGAACCTCGTCTACATGCAGGGTATCAGCTTTAGCAAGGGCTGTTACCTCGGCCAGGAGCTCACAGCCAGGACTCATCACACTGGGGTGATTCGAAAACGCCTCATGCCAGTACGACTGTCAGCTTCAGTCGGACGGCACGAGGAGGGAGCCGCCTTGCAGACGCAGTCGGGCAAGCCAGCTGGGAAGCACAGAGCGGGGCTCGGCGAGCTGGGCCTCAGCCTAGTTCGCACGGCACATGCCAAAGAAGTGTTGACGCTCAAATCTTCTGACAACAGCACAGTGACACTTGAAGCCTCTGTGCCAGACTGGTGGCCTAAGGATGTGAAAATTAACTGAGGATGGGGTGTTTTGTAGCTCTTTGAAATGTGACATGCATCGCATCAAGCTGACTTTTGATGGACAGAACCTTGAAGTACAGTACGTTACACTGCCACTGCTTTATAGATCTTTGGTCTGCTCTACAACTTATTTAGGTGATTTTTTTCTTTAAGTTATTTATAACAAAGCTATGCTTTTTCACATTTGTTTATTAAAGTATATACCAACCATTAAGTGGCGTTTGTGGTTACTTAAATTACATAAAAAATGGCAGCATAAAGAGTCTCTTTATAATTTGATTTAAGCATTTATTGTTTGCACTGCAAAAACAAACACCAGACATTCAAAAGCAGGATTTAAGTGCAAAAAAAGAAATCTCAAGCTTCTATCGTAATCTTATTGTCACTTCTCATTCAAGCTTTTCCCAGGTAAACACTGCAGAGAGTTTGGACACGTTATTCCTGATAAAGGAGGTGCTGCCCTCTTGTGGACTGTATGGCGTCCCTGATTTGCAGCAACAAGGTTTCTGGCTGCAAAGACGACGTCGAATGATCAAGCCGCTTGAAGTCTTCGTTGCAAAGCAGGCATTCGATAACGTGCGCCACTCTTTCGAGGTCGAAGGCCGCGTGGTAAGGTCCGAGCGTGGTCAGGGTTTCGGAGAGGTGCCGGGAGTAATCGGAGGACTCGCCGGAAAAACAAGCGTTCAAAAAAGCCATCCGATTTTCAGCGACGATTTTCATGAACGAGGCGAATTCCCCGTAATCAATTCCAGAGCATGCTTTCATGATGACCTGAAAGAAGGAGAAGCTAAAAGTGACTACATTGCACAGATTTGTTGGAGCAACATGTTCCTAAAACACACGGTGAGTGAACGAGCTCACGTGTACACTACCTGACAGTGCTGATGCCACGAATCCATTGTGTTTTTCCATTCGTCTATCTCTTTTTGAACAGACGACAGCTCATTCTGTAGGAATTGCCACATGATGTCAATGTTGCATCCATTCAGCCAATTGTGATTAATAGAAATGGTGTCCTCCTGGGAGAGAGGGGGAAAAACAGGATTACAAACTCACGACCAAAGCTCTGTAAAGTATAATGGTGCGTTCACACCAAACGCGATTTCAGCGTCAGGAGCAGCAGGTTTACATGCAAAGTCTATGGTGGAGGCGCTTCAAGCAACGTCGGGAAGTTCTGCGGCGCCTCAAGCGCGATTAGAGCAGCGCGATTTGGACGATTTGGACGATCTGAGCGTCGAACGCTCAGATCGTCCAAATCGTCCAAATCGCTGAAGTTGGGAAATCTGAACTTTTGCAGCTCGACGCGCAGCGTCAACCAATCAGAGAGACGCCACTGTGTGACGTAGCGACATATTTCCCGACGGGACAGTTTACTGAATGAGGTCCACTAACCTGAAACAGACGGAGCGGAGCTCTTTAGCTAAAATGAGTGCTGCAGTCGTGTCCTGATCCGCAGCAATGCGTGGCAGCGACTCATCAGACTGAAAAAAATAGTCCTGAAAACGAGCTGTGAGCCTCTACTCTGAATTATCTGGTGAATTAATTATGAATTAATTATCTGATGAACGTGACACGTTCTGGCTGTCTGTAAATTAAAGCAAAGCCACTTCCTCGTCCCATAAAACGGAGCCCGACAGAGGAGGGAGGGGCGGGGCGGCTGTCGCCGTGCGGCGCTTCAACAACTGTCCTGCGTCTGACCTCAAAGTGCACAAGCTTCAGACTTCAGCGTTGGCTGCGATTTTGAAGCTGAAATCGCGTTCGGTGTGAACGCACCATAACTTAGCAGACACGTTAGCTCCACTTCTCACCAGGTTATAAACTTGGTGGTGCCAGCCGCTTGGCACAAAAATTATTTCCCCTGCCTCTTGAATAATTTCAAGGGGTTGGCATGCTTCTTCAAACTGTGGGAAAAGGCTTCTATCTTGGAGTTCAGCTGATGTTACATCATAAGGGAGGTTGCCGTGAGTGTCTCGTAAAAAGTCCTCCTGACCCGGAGGATAAAGCAGCCACTTCTTCCTGCCGCAGATGTTTGCAGACCAGCTGTAGGAGCGGAACACATCCGCATGGAACGGTGTCCTAAACACAACGAAGAGGAATTGAACTGCATAAAAATCATCTAACATTACATAAAGTACATTTTCACCAATATAGTTTAACTTTTTCATACCAAGAGCCTTTGGGTCCCATGTAGACGAACCGGTAGTCGTCCACTTCAAGTGCATCCCAATATTCATTAAGCCAGTCAGAAGTAAAAAACACTGGTGTGATGTAAACATTATGTTCTGGAAAGTCCCTGTTTAATAAAAGAAAACATCATTATTATTACATCTTTACAATGAGTTAATGATGTGTTAATCAAATAAAAAGTAATTGAGAGTTTTAGGATTGATGAGAAATCGGTGCAGCTGCAATAATAATAATAACACAATAACACATCTTGACATATGAAATGGTCCAAATAAAAAAAGCTAAATATTGCTGGCATAAACAATTACATATATTTAATTTTGTTGTTTAACATTCGTTGCAACTTTCAAGAGTTGCATCTAAATAGGAAAGTCATAATACATGTTTAAAATAAGCTTTTTATTTAGTTTCTATTGTGACTGACATGAAATATAGGTTGCAAGCAATTTGTTACTACTCCATCCTTGACATTCATCATAAAGTATTGTTCTTATCACTTGTGCAGAACACATTTTGCCCCCCCAATAAATGATACCTTGACATATGCCAGTCTTTGAGATAGAGGCATCCTTTAGGTGATGAGTGTCCATTCTGGATGTATTCCTTCCAGTAATGTATAAATTCTTTAAATGGCATTACTTGTTTAGGGTTGGCATTGTATTCCTTTGCATTGCAGTTTGCAACAGGGACGGGAGTCTCATCTGGGATTAAAACACACAACAAATATGTTTTTTTTAATATAATTAAATGACACTAGTCACTGCATGCTGTTACATAAGAGATTTATTTACCAAAGTCTTGCAGCAGCTTTTGAAAATTAGGTTTGCCCTCCTCTGTCACCCATTGTTTTCTGCACTTCCACTCCTCGGTGAACCTTCTTGAAAACATGCACGGGTGATTAGGTAGCAAGTATTTCTTGAAGAATTTCGAATAGCTCAGGTCCTTGTCGATGTAGTCAACAAAATGCGAAGACCAAAACTGCTCATAGGACTGACTTGGTATTTTGACCAAGCTGCAGGAGTTGCGGTACGCCTCCCTGTCCATGATCATGGGAAATAGGTCCTCGGCTAATGGTTAGCAGGCCTTACTGTCACGGTTTGAAGAGCACGGAACGATCAGCTTAAAGCTGGCATTAGTATACGCCTGCATCCATTTTCAGCCAAGCTACATTTCAAGTTTAACGATTTATGTGTGTATTTCTCCTACCACGAAACAGATCGCCATAACTGTTCAGAGCTAAATGGTTCCTATGATGTAAACACAGTGTCGTCAGCGTTTCCATTTCTGTTAATGTATGATAGCGTTTATATTCATTTGACGCTAACATTTTGTTACATTTCAATTATTTATTTTTTAAAAAAACGCCCTGCTTAATTATGTATTTTCCCCTCAAACCTTTTCGTTTAAGTGTTTTGTGTCAGCCAGCACAATTTTCCAATCGGACTGTAAATGCAGCCGTACCAGTGACGTGAATTGGTGTTGCGGCAAAAGTCAAATACCTGCTGTTCGCGCTATCTCGGGAGCACGCACAATGCAGTAACAAGCGTTTGGACAGACTTCTCCAGCTAAGTAAACCTCAAAACATTACACGTTTTAATTTATTATGCGAGTGATATTTTATCATTGAGCTTGTGGATAACAGAACCGGTTTTTTTCTGCTTTGTGCGCGCTCCCGAACCCAGTGAGACAATATTCTTAAGGACAATTACTTCGACGCAACACCGGTTAGCTTCCGGAAGTAGTCTTATTGTTTTGAACGGCTCTTGTGCAAAACACACACGTATGTAAATTACCAAACCTTCTGAAATATTCGTAGCAGTTTTTTATATATTTTCGAAGACAGCTATTTAACTCCGTTTTTAACAAATGTAATATCTGCGCACTTCTTCCGCCTTTGTTCCCACAGATTTAACCACTGTTTATGAGGGTCTTAGCGCATTTTTTTAATCTGATGGTTAAAATATTACTTTTTTCATCCACTACTATCTCATAATATCTCGCTCATTTTAATTAAAAAATATGTATAATTTCAAAAAATAACTATTAAGTTGAGCGACATCCCAAACCAGAGTGTGACGTCACGTCCGTAATAAACATAATTTGCCAAGAAGGTAACGTTGAACTCAGCCCTGTGTTGGTGAGTAATGTGCTGTGGGAAGCACATAAATAAGATAATTTTTTATAAGAACACGAAGGCGGAAGTGATAATATGATTATAAACTGATAATAATGCGTTTGTGATGTGGACAAAGATCTTCAGCTGACTGAACGCCTCCTTGAGCTCATCTGCTGCCTGGGTTTACTCTAAAGAAAGTATGTTCACGATCAGGGCACACATTAATCAGTCATGATGTAACTCTGTTAATATTCAATATACTCAATCTTATCAGTTAGTGTTAGTCTCTCTCTCTGTCTCTCTCTTTATTTTTTTTCTCTTTCTCTTTCTTTTTTAAAGATGAGCCGGGACGTTTCGATCCACAGCTGGCCCGGCTCCTATTACATCAACACTGAGAAGCGGTGGGAGAATGGAACCCTGTCCCTCACCAAAACGATGGTACGCTTCGTCTCAAGCCAGAGCAAGGAGTGTCTCGCCAGCTTCTGCCTGTCCCGTATCACGGAGATCAAGATGGAGTCGTCCAGTTTCATCTTCAGCACCCTCACTGTGCTGGAGGAGGGCAACGTCAAGCACTGGTTCGGTTCCCTCAAGCCCAACCGGGTGGTGGTTTATAACGTGCTGGAGCATTTCTGGAGAGAGCGCCTTCTGTCTCCCACCTCTAAGGCTCCAGGGGCTGAGAGTCAGCCTTCTAAGGGGAAAGAGTTGATCAGCCTGGTGGCAGGAGCCCAGAGAAGACTGGAGGACACAGGCCGGGTTCTTAGCCACCAGGGAGAGCAGTTTGACAACATGGTGCAGGGACTGGAGAAGATTGACTCTGATCTTGGCGTGGCTGATAAGTAATTATTCTGAATTTCTCTTGTGTCTGTAACAAGCTGCATGTATGATTTTCTAAAGATCAGTAAAAAAAATAGCAATAGTCCCTGATTATTCTGTTTTACAGACTTCTGTCAGAGCTTGAGTCTCCCTCCTGGTGGCCTTTTGGCAAACTCCCCTGGAAAATTCAGCAAGGGGCCAAGGCCGAAGACGCAGCCAGAGCCGCCGCTGCCCTCTCATCAGGCAAGAGCTCTAGCCGAAACAAGGTGATCACAAGCATTCCAGCTGTGGTGTCCAGAGGTGGAGACTCGGACTTGAAGCCCGGATGTTTGCTGGTGCTGGTGTCGTCACTGGAGGTGCGGGACACAAACTGCCAACTCCTTCACCGGTTTGAACGGAACGAAATTGACGAGATCAGGGCGCACAGTCCCTACGAGATCACGGTCCGACAGCGTTTCATTGGGAAACCAGACATATGTTATAAGTTTCTTTCTGCAAAGATGCCACTTGCGATGTCAGTGTTGGAGGTGCAGTATAAGAAGAAGATGGAGTTTACAAGTGAATACACAGCTTTCAAAGCAACTCCACTTTCATCTCCTTGTGACAAAGAAGAGAGAAACTGGGATGATGGTAAGGAACAAATCCTCTGAATAAAAATTCTGTTATTGCCGTCTTTGTTTCCACGTGCGGTCTATGTTTGACCACTGAGTGGCAGTAAAGAACTATGTAGTCAGCCCGAAATGTTTCTAAGTGCTACCACATGTAAAAACATTTCATCATGGTTATTGGTGTTTCTCTTCAGCAGACATGTATTTTGATGAGTCACTTCACCCTGATTGCCTCAGTTGCTGTATTTTGAGTTTACTGTCTGGTTTCCTTATAAACATCGTACTGTATGCACTCTGCTCTTTTTCACCATCTCCACCCACGGAATCAGGTTTGCGGCGCACGGGCCAAGAGACCGAGCTCCCACTGGAGGTCCCAGCAGGAGAGCTGTCCCAGTTGCAGGTGCAAGTCCTCCAGCCGTCTGTCAGTCAGGCTGAGGCCCAGGAACTCAAGCAGGTGAGAAACTTGGATTTCCATAGCCGGTTTAAAAACACAGCAACTCTAATGAGGCATTAAGAAGTTTCACATGCATAAACACAAGACAGGTGGGACGAATACACAACCTGCATACGGCTGCCGCACATCGTCTTGAACAGTGGGAGCTGTTATTGTGAACAAACTAAAAAAAATTACAGCAACTTGCACACAATTTACCGTAATGATTTTTAAATATATTTTTTTCATCCTGTGTGTTTAAAATGTTATTCAGTGAGACCACAAACCAAAGTCCATCCTGGGTTTAAGAGAGGAAAAGGATCATGGACAGTTACTTGGTCAGGCCTTTCCACTTCAAATCTCCCAGTGCTGAAAGCTGTTACAGACATGGTCTGTGGTGGCACGACCTAAACAGTGACGCAAATTCAAACAAATGATTCAAACACTTTTTTTATGTCTCTCTGACGTGATTTAGACCAGATATCTATTTATTTTTGTCAACTTTCAACAAGCTGCCTTTTGCTTCTGATATAGTGAGCTTGCATCATATACAGTACAAGAATGAGATAAATGAATAGCTTTTTGTTGTTAAGGCAGTAAGTAAATGAAGTTCAAACTTGTCTTTTCTACCTAACGTTTATTGAACAAATGACCAATTGTGAAAAAAAATCTATCTTGCTGAAGGTGTGGAAAACAGACTTACTAACAGTATTCTGCTCATTGTAGCCAAAGTGTTTCATTTTAGGGGATCCTGCAAAGGGGAAGGGGTGGGGGGTATGCAGAGTCAACTTTTTTGTGCTTTATGTTTTATATCATATTCCCTCATCAAACACATACCCAGACTGTTGCTTTGACTCATTCACGCATGTTTGAGAAATCCTTGAATCTCCGTGCGCAGCTGCCTAAATGCTTGCTAGCAGGAACATTCCCCAGAACATTGCTGTGAAAACGTGCTGAAGTGGGAGCGTTGGAAACGGTAGAATGTTTTTAAAGAGACAGATGCCAATTTCAAGACGTTTAGATAGACTGTGATGCAACGTCAAATTTATTTTTGCTATATACAGCACTTTTATAACAACTGAAGATAACATAGTTACTTCCTTGTGGTACAGAATTGAACTATGTGTCTGGAAAATACATACCCCCCCCCCAAGTTCTCTTACCACTGAATAAGCAGCAGCTAAAAATATTCATTCTGGGGCATTTTTTTAATGACCTGCTGTGTGTAACTCTGCCATGTCGTCCCATTTTAAATTGTGAAGTCACAGAGCAGCGTGAGTGAAAGCAGTTGCTATTTTTTTGAGGTCTGTATTGGCGCTATCTGGTTTTCAAACTGCTGCCGGCTGTTTACATGCTCAGCTGAAAGGTCCACAGAAAGCAGCCAGTGAAAACCTGACATAAGCTGCTGTGCGAGCACGGTTTGTGTGAGTGCGTTTGGCAAAACGCTAGTTCAGAAACCAGGGCGGTGGGGTTTGAAGTGAGTGTTTATTAGGTTTTGCTTGGCTCGCTGCAGTGTGTTTAAGCTGTCACATTAACCATAACAACCGTGGTTGTTAAACCGTGAACATGAAGTCACAATATTCTCAAAGCCCGCTGCAAGTTAATACAAATAAACAGTATTGTTTAGCAAGGATCCCAGGGGACAAGCTAAGACTTATTTCTTGGTGTATTCTCAGGTTTCATTTCCTGAATATTATGACATATTATCACACATTGCATCACTGATCTGCAGCCATTGAGCAGCAGCAGTGGAGAGTTGTTTTATTTTTGTGCACAAAATGCAAAACAAAAGTTTTAAATCGACTCAATTGCTCCGTTTCCCTCACCTAAACACATTTCAACACAATGATCCAAACTGTATACATCCTTAGCATATGGTCCACATGTTGCACCCTGAAATTGCTCACCGCTGTGGTGAAATTTTGACAATTAATCATTTTTATGTTTGTGTCGTTGCTTAGCTACACCTCTTTTCAGGGGTTGGTGTAACAATTTAAACTAATGGATGTGGTTTATTTTTTTAATATATTTTGTTCCCCCTCTATTGTGTTATTTTTGTTGAACAGATGCTGTTGCAGCTGAAGCATCTTGCGCTGGAGGCGGAGTCGGAGCTGGAGCGGCAAGATGAAGTGCTGGACGTCCTGACGGATTCAACGGACAGAACCACAATGCAGATAGGAAAGCACACAAACCGTATGAAAAGACTGCTGTAATCCTGGCACCACAGGAAATGCACGTCACTCTGTGCTTCATCATGGTCCACATGCAGGATTGTGAAGGACTTAAGCTTTTTCCATGTGTTTTTTTWTWATTATTATTATTATTTTCAGCTTCTTGAAAATGGTGTAGCACCTGTACATCTTGAACTGTGGCCATCATTGTTAACCTTACATCTGGGTTTGGCGAAACAACCTTTTCGAACAGGGAAGTCCAATCCTGGTCCTCGAGGGCCATTATACTGCATGTGTTGAAGGTTTCTCTGCTCTAACTTGAAGAGATAATCCAGTTACTGAATCAGGCGTGTTGGAGCAGGGAAACAAGGAAATCATTGAACTCCCCAATTTTAGAAGATCACACGCACACAACTGTAATGAATGAAAATACATTTTTTAAATGATGCTGAAGAGGGGGATAATTAGGCAGGTCAAAATAAGCAATCAAACAAGTTAAAGTAACAAACTGACAGATAACACTAACATACAACCTTTGTGTCAGCGTARCATCTCAATGTTTATTTGTGTCTCTTATCCACTGGTTTATCTGTGGCTTATTATTGCATGTGTCAATATAACTCGTTATTACAGCATCAACAATAAAATTGTAGGATTTTTCATGTAGCTACAGCTAAAGATTATATAAGAAACCAAGTTAGTCTAAAAGGAAAAGCACACCTTCACTTTAATAATCCWTAATCTGCAGCCTATGACTTGCTAAAAATTGTTAGTCTTTTAATGTACTATTGTAAATTACTTAAATTTATTGTAATTCACTTGTTTTATTGGGTTGTATGAAGATGTAAATTAGCCAGTATGTAACCTTTTATTTTACCAGGGAAGTCCCACTGAGGTAAACCATCTCTTCTTCCATGGAGTCTTGGCCAAGTGACACATTTAGGGTTTGGACCTACCCTTTATTAATTTTTTTAACACTAGGACACTTTGGTTGCCTCTTCCATCAGTTTATATTGAATTTGCTAGCTAGGAAGATATGATAAGAGTAGAAAGTCCATCATCTGGTCATAATAATCAAATTTAGCTAGAGTACGTTTTTTTTTTTGTTTGTTTTGTTTTTTGAAGATCTTTTTTGCTTCTCAACAGAGAAGCTTTAAATGACTCATTAAGCCTATAATAAAGCTTATTGGATGAGAAGCAAAACTCTTAAAAAAAAACAAAAAGAAAATAATTTGTCTTCAATTCGACTCATTAAGACAGGATAATAGCATGTGTGTGTGTGTGTGGATAGTTTTTGCTACATCATGGGGACCATTTTCCAGAAAAACACAGCCTTGTGGGGATCAAATGATCCTGATTTTGTGTGGGGTGGGGGGTTCGGTTTAGGATGAAGTGTGAATTGAGTTTAGGCTAGATTTAGTTTTGGGTTAAAAGGTCAGGTTTAGGTTCTAGAAATGACCGTAAACTGAATAAAGCATGCTAGGAATAGTTTGAACACCATTGCATTCAGCATATTATGCACCTGTACCAACTTCTCTATTCATTTATGCTGTAAACTATTCTGTATGTGCTTGGCTGTTAACAAATTGAGCTTTTAAAAAGGGAAAGCCTACTTATTTAATTCTAATTTTCACTGAACAATTGTGGGTTTTTTTTAACAGTAAGTTGTTAGCATTTCAAATTTGTAACATCCCAACATGTGCAATAAAGCCATACAATTATCTAGGTGTATTGGTGTTTTTTATTTTATTTTATAGAAGTTAAATGAAGCTCAGGTTTGAAGATAGCAGTGGCTTCAATTCATGAAGGGAAATTAAAAGGGACTAGATTCCCTGCACCAACATCTGTCCTGTTTGTATGCTCTTGGTGGAAAATAGAGTAGACTTTACCATAAAACTTGTAGTATGTGTCTGTACACAACCAGAATATGTTAGCATCTTAACACTAATTTGCACTTGTGTAAGATACAATCCTAAAATGGGCAAAARTAAAGCTAATGTCAAATACAAAAGTAAAAACGTTTTTTAAAAAAGGGCTACTTGAGTACAAAGTCACAACATCTGATTTTAAAATAATGTCATCAAACTGACAAAAAAACATGCAAGTTATGAGCAAATTCTGGTGTTTTTAAAGGCTTAAATGAAGAAAATTATCACAAATAACATAATTTCCACCTCTGCAGTAGACGTTAGAACAACCATGTTGTCGTGCTAACAATAAAAATTACGCCACTAATGCTGTAGCAGCTGGTAAAAACAGTAAAACACATTGGATTATATCTCAGACTAGATCATAAGAAATAAAATGGATGTTTATAGACCAGGTATACATACTTCATACTGAAACTTAAATGAAAAACAATGTACTGTATGTGTAAAGCAGTTAGAAATTTAAGACCACTTGCCGTTAAACCCATGTGAATAAAAAGTCTAACTTGACTAAGTGAACATGGTAGCTTACAAAATGCAAAAGTTATAAGTCGTAAAACATTGTGTTGTAATTAGGATTAAAAAAAAGCTTGGTTAATTGTCCAGTTTTTATCAGTGCACAGAAGGGAGTTTTGCACCTCAAATTCTGAAAAACTCAATTCTGGTTTACTGTGTGCATTTTCTTTTTCAATTTTGAGGTTTGCTGTCACCCAAAGCTAAAGAATGGTAGCTTTTACTGTAAACCAGATTTAATTTGACAAGTGGCTGAGTTTTCAATTGTAAATTAGGAAGAAGACTTACATGATGAGGTTTAACAAGACAACAGACTCCTTCAGCAGTMTGGTCCCAGATGGCATAAACTTATCACTTCTATTAAACATGGCCCACCGTGAAAAACGTGCTACCAAAAACACAGAACCCAACCCAAAACAATTCCGTTATAAATCTTTCTTTTTGCACAAAGATGTTTTCATTGCGGCCCATTTATTTTGTTGATTTCACAGATAAACAGTCAAATGTTTGGATGTTCCAATGTTCAGAAGCACAACACATGGTTATGTGAAGTCCAAARCCTTTTAAGAAAAAGGGGAGTGGCTAAGGAAATGGAGTACACACTGGCGTGGTTTTGAAGCAGCCTCGCAATACGAGGAAGTGGTGGCGGTCTTGTCTGACCACAGATACATGAGATCCGGCTTTGCCTTCCAAACGGATGGTATGGAGACACAGGATTTTGTTGGCCTTGACTTCCAAGTCTGTTTATGTGATAGTTCTGTGGTGAGCGCTTTCATTCACAAAGCGTGTCTCCACTGATGGCCAATCAATCAACTCTTGCAGGAAAAGAACTATGTGGGCAAACAGGGGCACACGGGTTGCACTGCACTCAAACATGAAGAAACAAGCTAGATCTGTCATCCTTGGGAAGATTTCTAAACCTAAAAATTCAAGCTGTTTACCAAGTTGTCAATGTACATTTACAAAAATAATGCAGTTCCGTTTTATGCATATAAATACATGAGTATGTGTTGCTGAAGGCAGACCTAGAATACATTACTGAATAATTATTAAAAAAATTTCACTTCAGCTGCCCTGTTTGACTGTCTGATTTAACATCCTGATTCTTGACTCATGGCCTGGACAGACTCTTACTATTTAYTGCAGGTGCTGCTGGGTTTTCTTTTGCCGAGGGAGTTTCTGGTTTCAGGAAACTTTTTTTTTTCTGGTCAATGTTAGGACTGGGAGATTTTGTTTCTGGAAGGAAGGTGACTGAGTCTTACCAGGGGGTGTAGATTTAGCCTCAATCAAAAACTGCAAAGAAGCTCAGCAACATCATTCTCTTCTGTCTTGCCATGGTATCAGTTTCTATTATATTTTTTTCAATAACAGGTATTATAATATAAGCATAATACAATTTGTAGTATTACAGTGTATTTAATAATTTCTAATAATTATAATACATTGTTTTTGTGTCATTTTGGCATCATCCTGTAAATACGCTCTGCATGGCTGTTACGGTACTTTCCCAGATGCTGAGCTGCACGCTGATTTCATGTGCTGCTGTTGCATGTTATGTTTTCTGTGGTATTTCAGTCGCTTGGTTTTTGGTTTTCTGGCTTTTGTTTCACAAACCTTTTCCATTTTTGTGTGACGGAGTTCACATTCAGGCAGCCAAACTAAACTTGGCCGCAGTTTTGCACAGTAGTATTTGTCTCGAAAAGGTGAAATCCGACATCACAACCTACCTGAACTCTGCAGAAGGGGCTTCCTTTTCTTGTGTGGGAACAATGAACTGCAGGTTAACTTGGGTGTTATTAGTTGAAGTTAAATGTGCAAGAAGAAAGAAAGGTTCAGCAGAAAAGCTAATGCTGTTAGAAAATCTACTGTGTTTACCATACCTAAAGTGGGTGTGCTCTGCTACATTCAAACTACAGAAAGCTAACATGGAATGAGGTAAAAATGCTGGAGAACAATATTATTTGGGAATCTTTTGCTCTTATATATTTTTTACATTTTTTGTATTTTGCTTGTACATGC